GCCAGGGCTTTGTCAAGCCTGACCTTGAAAACCTCTAAGGAAGGAGATTCCACCATCTCCCTAGGTAACCCAGTCCAGTGCTTCAACACCTTCCTAGTGAAAAAGTTTTTCCTAACATCCAACCTAAACCTCCCACACTGCAACTTGAGACCACTCTTTGTTCTGTCATCTGGTACCACTGAAAACAGTCTAGATCCATCCTCTTTGGAACCCCTCTTCAGGTAGTTGAAAGCAGCTATCAAATCCCTCCTCATTCTTCTCTTCTGCAGACTAAACAATCCCAGTTCCCTCAGCCTCTCCTCATAAGTAATGTGCTCCAGCCCCCTAATAATTTTTGTTGCCCTCTGCTGGACTCTTTCCAATTTTTCCACATCCTTCTTGTAGCGTGGGGCCCAAAATTGGACACAGTACTCCATATACATAAACATTTACAGAAACCTTCTTCACTTGTCTAATAAAATAACATATAATTCTATGCGACTCATCTGACCAATCACAGCTCAAATTCCAAAGAGTCAAATTGGAAAAGGTATGTATTGGTTAGTTAATAAATTCAGGGAATTGTGATCTTTCAGTTATTCCAGGAAAGAATAAGAAGCTAACTTTGTCTAGTAAATTATTAGTTGCAACTTATTTGTTCAACTGCCCGGATAACTTTTTCCTCACTTTCAAAAGTGTAACCAAGCAAGGGGGCAAGTGTGGACAAAGTTCAGTTGATTGGCATTGCCTCTTCTTGTGCCTGTTTCTTCTCCTTGCCTCCCGGGGTCTTTGTTACATTTTGTCCCCTCCTCCCCCCAAAAGTGCTTTTCCATTACTTGGATGCAAACCATCAGAGGTGAAAGTAAGCCAGGCCAGTCCAGCGTATCGGCAAGAGCCGGTACGCCAGACCGGACCGGCTTCCCCAGGCGGCAATTTAAAGGGTCTGGGGCTCCCAGCAGCAGCTGGAGACCTGGGCCCTTTAAAAATCGCCACCCGAGCCACACTGCCGGAGCCCTGGGGTAGCAGCAGCGGGGCTCTGGCAGTGATCTAAAAGGGCCTGGGGCTCCCGGCCGCCACTACCGCAGCAGAGCCTGGGCCCTTTAAATCAGCATCCGAGCCCCGAGGTAGTGGCAGCAGCTAGGAGCCTCCAGAGCTCCGTGGGTGATTTAAAGGGCCTGGGGCTCCACTGCAGTAGCGGAGGCCGGAGCCCCAGGCCCTCTGAATGGCCCCTGAGACCCTGAGTTCCCAGCCGCCATCGCAGCTGGTAGCTCCATTGGTGATTTAAAGGGTCTAGTGCTCCCAGCTGCCACCACCGCAGCCGAAGCCCCAGGCCCTTAAAATTTAGACTTAAAGGGCCCGGGGCTCTGAAGGCCCCACCTCTTCTGATTGAGGCCCCGCCCCTTCTGGTCGAGGCCCTACCCCCCTGCTCAGGACTCCAGCATACTGGTAAATCCTTTAAGTTACTTTCACCCCTGCATCCTAATGTAGAAATCAGTCAGATATGATCAACTCTCTCAGTCTCCTACCAACAGTCAGACTTGCTACATTTCTCCACAGCAGGCTGAGGATATTTTTTCTCTCGATCAGGAGCTACAGGAACAAAGGGTTGCAAGGTTTAATTTCTCTGTAAGTGGTTAGTTCTAGCTCTCTCTGCAAAAGGGCGTGATCTCTTCCTGGTTTGATTAACGGAGAAGACAGATGGGGGAGTGGACCTACTTGTACCGTTCAGCAATATCCCTAATTTTCCCAGGCTGACAACTAGCACTGACTATATTATTTGTAGGAGGGTATTTACTTGGTAGTACCAATTCAGATACACAAGTTACAACAGCAGTAGCAGCCTTGTATTAACAATGCTTTCTATTCCAGATGTACTTACTGTTGCAAAGTGAGAATCATAGTCACCTCTGTGGTTATTAACTTCCTCTTTTATAACCTTATCTTTTCCTTATATCTGAAGCACCAGCTGAGCATTGTTCAAAACTGTTCCAAAGCCCAGTGAAGCCAATGGGAATTTTTCAATAGGCTTCAATGGGCTTTGGATCAGACCCCCTAAATGCTCAACTTGCAATAGGATGAAGATTTGAGATTACACTGAGGTAGGATATCACACCCCTCCAGCCCCACACAATGTGTTAGGAAAAATAAAATGAAACAATACGTTTAGCTTTTGAATAAATGGGATGTGCTGAACATCCTCAGACAAAACCCACTTAGGTATTGGGCTTGCTGCAACCAGCTTGTAGGGTTTTTGAAAAGTGGCTGTTCTGTTCCACGGCAGGCTAACTAAAATAAATTCCTAGCTTCAAAGTTGATGTAAAGCAATGTATATTTTAAACGGTGAGTCTACAAACACTCCACACAGAAAATACTCCCTTTTCTCAGAATCAAATTCCTAATCTAGATAAGATTGAAGAAGAAGTCTTTTAAACAGAACCTTCTAGAACAGTAAAGAACATTGGCCATAATTTTATGTAGTTCTAAAATTTTTCCTTATGCTCTAATTCATCTTGAATCAGAACTAAATGAACAAACCCAAATAAAAGGAGAATTCAACAAACTAAGTGCCTGTTCCAGGTGACCTCATATGTTGGAGAGACAGTTCAGGGTTTGTGGGTTACTGGAAGAGTGGGTGGATCTATATGTGAGATTTTTTTTATATTTTTCCAGAATTAGCATGTCTCTCACTTCCACAAAGTTGATTTCAGGTCAAGCCATATGGTTTAGATCCTTAAAATCCCTCTTCAAAGAAATTTCAGGTCATTACCATTTTGTAAACTCTTTTCCAGGGAGTTTTTCATGTGCAAAATCTGCTTTTTCCATCTCTGACCTACCCACTTTCCAGTGAGTTTCTCTCAGTATCTAACTGCTGTCAAATGGGAGGCAGTATTTTCTGTAAATAGCAGTCTTGTTCATAAACACCAAAACTGTCACAATGTCCAATTGAAGCGCAGCAAATTAAGCATGAAGCAGCAGCTTTCAGGATCAGCTTTAAGGGAACAGCCTCACAGGCTCCTTGGGGGAGGGGAAAAAAAAAAGTTTAAAGATCGTAAACTTTTTTAAAATGCAGGCAACAATTCTTAAGTTTTCATTCACAATTACTCAAACATTAAGTTAATTATACGAATAAAAAAAAAGTTTGGTTCAAGAACTATATTCCAAACCCTATCAACACAGTTTATTCATTTTATTCATTGTAATCGCTGTAGCCCCACCCAGTCTCAGGGTCTTTCAGGCCGCACTGGTGTCAGATGTTTTTTTTACTAACTAGACTGTGGAACTGGTAAGCAGAAAGCCTTCCCACCCTTCCCTTCTCCTAAGCATCTGTTAGTTTTAGAGTGGCCACACCCAGCTTGTTATTGTTGAAATTTTAAAGGTGGGTACTTTCTATATTTTTCTTAGTCTTTCACTCCGATTTATAATACAGTGTATTCGAGTGACATCTATGTACTGGCAACAACATCACACGAAGGAGCTTTCTGTAAATAACATCACTATCTTGAGTTGCCAACTTTACTGGACTTCCTGCGTGACAATGGCAAAGTCAGTTGCACCCAAACTTTAAAAAAGTGGCCTCTAACTTTGTTAATTAATGTTCATTTTTGAAGATGTGGGTTTTAATCTCTTGGTACCTCCATTTTTCATCTGTAAAGTGGGGATAATAATACTTAACCAGCTCACAGGTGCATTATGATTAGTAATGCATTAGTGTTTGTAAAGCCTGTTAAGGTCCTCTGATGGAATGTATCATAACAAAACAAAAATTATTAAAGCTTGGCATTTTTGGCAAGTGTCGGAGTAAAGTAAATATTTTATCATGTTCCTCTGTTTTGACAATTGGAGAAATATGAATATTGCACAACCAGGGGCCAAACTTTGAAAGAGCTACAGAAAATGTACCCATGTATGCACTAATTTGGGCAAAAACATGATATACATGGAGAGTGTGGATAGGAACAAAGAACAGAGAGAGTTATGGGTAGTGGTAATGGAAGCAAGTGCTTTGTTAATAATGGCCCAGAAGTGACATTGAACTCCTATGGAAAAGTCTGAGAGAATTTATTAGGAGATTATATTCTCTTGCTTTTTTGAACCACCCTGAAGAACTAAAAAAACAATGAAAATTATACCCTTTCTATATAAAGGGTTAGAAGAGACTACAGAAAGGGTACTCTAAAAACCTTTGCAATGTAATATAAGGTAATTTCTATAGAATCCTATTCAATTTCTAGTTAACCCTGTTGGTTTCACAAACCAGTTCTCTCTCTGCTTCAGGGAAAGTCTCCTTTAAAAACGGCAAGAGTGTCTGCATACTCCGAAATAGGCCACTATGTCTTTTTCGTCACATCCCTTTTCCCAGAAACTGTCACTTTTTGACTGCTGATTGTTCGGTGCTCTGTTAGCTCACAAAACAGCTGTGCAACTTCAGGCTGGAGTTTATGGGCCATTGTCTTGTAATTGCTTCCAAGTGTTTGTTCCGAGGTTACTTATTTAGATCCACTGTGTTGCTTTCCTATTTGTTTTTCCAATGGTCCACTGTTACACTAAATCAATATGTTCATATAAGAATGTCTAATAAACCCATATAGTTAAACAGTAACAATCTCACTGACCAAGTCACATGCAGTATTAATATAATTATTATAGCAGTATTCTTAGATTATTACATAGCAGCATCACATCTGCCAGTCACAGTGTTGCTCTAATTAAATGTGTCACGTAACAGCTACAGAGATCAAACAAAACACATTTACTTACTCATGCAAGCCCCTGTTTGTGTCCAAAATGTCATAAAAGAACATGCTTCCTTTTTTAAAAGCACAACATTGGAAATGAAGATGTTGAAATGCTTTAGTCAGATGCATCATATTTGAGTAGGCTAAAGCTACAGTTCTGTTTACTTAATAGGTCAAAAGAGGTCATCATATTTCTTGACAGATTAAATGGTAAAAATGTAGCCATCCAAATCACATGGAAAAAACCAGGTATGCAGAGACATTGGAATAAAAACACAAACCTACCAGCATTCTAACCTTAAAGCAGATGGCTTTATCCATTAAATTGCACATTCTTTGGTTGAGGGTTATGGGATTTCGAGGTGTTTCAGGAGCTGTTGGTATAACTGCAATAGAAACAAAGATATACAAAACTGTTAAAATTATACGTCAAAGTTTTGCAAATGTCTCGAACTACATTCTGAGTTCATAGAAATAGTGAAGCTTCAGAATCTGGTTATTCCGTAATTTAAATCTATATTTCTTTTAAAAAGTGATTAGATTTTTTTTAGAAATACATTTTTTCTATTAACTGTGATGTCAATTAAGGGCACAAGCCACCCCCTAAAATCTAGGCTGGCGCATGTATTTTTTTGCATTAAAGTTTTTCATTCTCCCTCTTTTCTCCTTTATACAGACCTCACTGGATTTGTTTTCCACTCTGCACTTTCTTGGCTCCATTTTCCACCCTTTTTCATTGATTTTTTCCTCTTTTCTCCCTACTGCCCACTTTCACAGTCTCTCCTAAGGAGAATGCAAAGCCACAATGTTCAAGCAATGGCAAAATGAATTTGCCCATCCTAAATGTAAACACATTCAATTCCCTGCTGTTATCTGCCACTCTTCCCTTCTGAAGATACCATTTAAAAGAAACAACAATACACACAAAACTACCCTATCCCAGAGTAACGTTTACAACAGTCCAGTAACATTACTGTAAATTGTAGAGTTTGGCACCTTTATTGTACAATTCTGTAGAATTGTTTTTAAAATAAGGGGCTAAATAGAGGTTGGACACTTGCTGATATAAACCCCATGCTGATGAAAAGCCTGAATAAAGCAGAAGTTGGTAAACTCAGAGTCTCCACACTGATTGCTTAGGATTAAACCCCTATTGTTGGTTGAGGGATTATTACAGAACACGGGTGCCTGCAACCAGCACTTCATTATGGGTAATGGCTCTTCTGAACTGTATAGACCCAAGATACTTTCCAAACCACTCCTGTGGATTAAGCACACAGAAAAGTTTTACTATTACAGTTTCTTATTATGTAAGGAAAAAGAGCACATAAAATTTAAATAAATAGATAATACTGTAGGACAACTAAGCACTTATTAGTCCCCTATCACTGTAATATTTGAGTTGCTAGACAGCTTTGTTTAAAAATAGTTATTCTGTGATTGTGTGCGCGAATATTTAGTTTACCTAGAAGTGTATTGAGAGAACATTGATGATAATAGCATTTCTTGGAGCACTCCTTAGAAATCTGATCATATAAGCTATGCCTATTGCCTTATCAGACTGTACTCGACAGCACTGTGTTTTCTGTACTAGAAGGCAGTGGAAAAAAAATCTATAATAACAAGACCAAAAAAAATGAATAAAGCATGTTGTTAAGTAAAAGCAATTATATAAACACATTTTGGGTACTCATCTAAAACTATTTTAAAAATAGCCTTCATCCTATTGCAATGGCAATTCATACTGCTACATGCCAAAGATGCATCCACAATTTTACATCTAAAATTATTTGTGCTACTGATAGATGAGCTGAATTTAAGTGAAAAAGTTTTGGATGTCTCGTACTCATCTGTCTCAATACATGGAAGGTATTTGATTTCTTTTGCAATATTCAATTGCCTTTGACGGGTCAAGTCAGAACGTTTGGATTATCCGCCAAAATTGGCACAGGAAGAAGTCTGTTAATGACAAAATTATGGTCTGGATGAGCTTCTTTGGCATTTGTAAACTCAGATAAAGCAAAAGGGAATTGTAAACTACTGTCTAATCACTCCAGGCTGGATTCAGGCCTGGTATAAATAGTTACTGGAGTTGCATCTTTTTACACCAGGTCTCAGTTCAACCTTCTGTTCTGGGTAGACAGCGATTTTGCATTTCACTCATTATTGATACCCGACATTAGTGATCTAGGTTGGAATACGACACCCATCTCCTTAGAATGAGAGTGCCTCTACTCCACAAGGTCAGTACACATCCTAAAACACAATCAAGAACTGTTCTTTGTTCTTGTCTAAGTATTGACATTTCCACAGTCTAGTGCCCGGACAAAAAGCATAAAGATTTCACTTTACTGCATCACAACACACATACGATCAAGCTACATCTCAGCATCAAACTAGCAACACACATTTTTTCTTATATAGTCTACCTGTTGGGGAAGTCTCACCTTCCATCTCCTCTATGCTGAGGGGTCTTCCAGAGGCTGGCTGTGCTAGCTCTCAGGCTGTTTTGTATCTCTGGAGCACAAGCAGATCTAACTCAGCCAAGAATCAGACCCATCGTGTCCTTTCCAAATCAATGGGAGTTTGGGATGCTCAGAGAATGCAAGATCAGACCCATAGACAAGGCAAATTGTCTCCCCCAAAGAGCGTGCAGACTACATAAGAAAATCACTGAAGAGGAAATGGGCTGCTACATTCACAGTAGTAATATTTAAAACTCCAGGGGAGAATTAGAAACAGGATGGAGTTTTATTAAGAAATGTACTTCTGGCTCATGGTTTAAACTGCATGAGCAAGCAAGGAGGGATGAATATTAGTTCCTTTTGTTTCCACAAACTCCAAGCACCTCCATAGGATACAAGTTACATGTATAGGATCATCAAAATAAGTTGTCACTGATTAATCGTATACTCAGGAAAACACTCTTACAAGCTTCTGGTGAAAGTTTTAACACCATACAGATGAACACTTTCTACGGAAATAAGTGGCTACCTTTTATCCCAATCTTACAGGTTCTGGTTGTTCTTTGGATTTCTCAAACAAATCAAAGGGGCATACACACACACTCCCTCAGTTGTTGCTCATCATTCTACCAATCAGGCAGAGTATTCAAAACAAAAGGAACTTTCTGAAGAACAACAAAATACTAATACCGGCTCCTGAAAAAAACAACGAACAATCAGAATATTGGGTACCATCAAGAGCTTATCATTGCTCCCTCTCCACTTCTACTGAATGAACTGGTAAAAGGCCAGACCCAAAAATAAAGATCTCAAGCGATTATAAACTCCTTCTCTATCTAAATCCTTCACTAACAGTCTGCTGCTTAGTTACCAAGTAGGGTCGGGTTTTTGGACAGTGAGTCGAAGTCAAGGAGGTGAGTAGGGAGGAAGTGAAACAGTAGCTCCAGCACATGTACCGAGCTTGTTATGGAGAAGGACAAGGACCACTTTCTGTTAAACATGTTGAGCCCCTCCAAATGTTTGGCTGCTTGATGATTAGCTAGCAGATGCCAAGTTAAACACCTGTATGCCAGACAAAAACAGTTGTATGTGTATCACTGCCAGTCCATCAGCACAGCATGCCTCATGCTAGTGAGTTGGGATCTTTTAGAAAATTCACAGTTCAGTCATAAGAAGCTTTTTCTACTCATTGCTCTCCTTTATCTCCTCCGTCTCTTTTCAACCCATCTCCTTAATTATATCAGTACTAGTGGGACCTTACTGCCATCATTATTTAGACATCTGCACAGTTGTCATTGGCTAGACGTTGTCATAGAGCTCTAAAAAGTCTGAACAATGTACGCGTATGAGCAGGCTTTGTCTACCACCCACCAGCATACAAATGCTCTGTTGTTCAAACTTTTACTAATGTAGTTAGAAATGCAGGACAAGATTATCCTTCCAGGGCTACAATCATTTATGCATATTCTCACCAGCAACAACACTGTTCCTCTGAACACTGCACCATAGTAACTCTAACTCAGGAACCAATCCATGCAACAAACCTTGATGCCAACTCTGCCCACATATCTACACCAGCGACACCATCACAGGACCTAACCAGATCAGCCACACCATCACTGGTTCATTCACCTGCACGTCCACCAATGTAACATATGCCATCATGTGCCAGCAATGCCTCTCTGCTATGTACATCGGCCAAACTAGACAGTCCCTACATAAAAGGATAAATGGACACATATCAGATATTAGGAATGGCAGTATACAAAAATCGGTAGGAGAACACTTCAACCTCCCTGGACACACAACAGCAGATTTAAAGGTCGCCATCCTGCAGCAAAAAAAACTTCAGGACCAGACTTCAAAGAGAAACTGCTGAGCTTCAGTTCATTTGCAAATTTGACACCATCAGCTCAGGATTAAACAAACAAAGCCTGTTAATGGCTCGCCAACTACAAAAGCAGTTTCTCCTCCTTTGGTGTTCACACCTCAACTGCTAGAAGGGGGCCTCATCCTCCCTGACTGAACTAACCTCGTTATCCTGAGCCTGATTTTTTCTTGCATATTTATACCTGCCTCTGGAAATTTCCACTACATGCATCTGAAGAAGTGGGTATTCACCCACGAAAGCTTATGCTCCAATACGTCTGTTATTCTATAAGGTGCCACAGGACTCTTTGCCGCAATCATTTATGCAGGAAATGTAGGGCTTAAGGACAGAGATCTTAGCAACAGGGATACCAACAGAGACCTCTTTTGGCTGTGTCCAGTCACTCAACCAACAGCTTTAGGCCGTCCACAAAATGAAAATAAAACCTATTTAACACCCTACAATACTCTGCATATATTTCAGAAGGGATTGCACAGGTACTGTATTCAGGAAGGGAGAGCAAGGGGGGAAGGAATACTGAAGTTGCCTTTCATACTCCCTACAGACACTCAATATTCCCATACACAGCTTATTGACACTATTGGAAATTATGTGCATATATGTGCAGACCCTTCTCTATGCAGAGATTTTCAGTTCACCCTTATGAATAATCCATTTCTGTTTCAGCAAAGGAAAGAAATGTGTGATTTACCTTCTAGTGTGATATGTTATATCACTAACACAAGAAACAGTAGTCCCAGAGAATGAACAACAGAGTCCCATAGAAATAAACCTTGTGAAGAGCATTCCAGTGACAGAGGACTGAAAATGGCATATCATTTGTAGGCTGGTTCCCGGTATACAATAAAATATTTTCCCCCTGTTGTCAAAGGGCCTGTCTTTTCCACCACAACTAGGTGAATTTCCCCATCTGTCTTAGGAAGGCTCTCACCTTTCTGTCTGTGTTGTAAAAGACCATTCATAATAGTGCCTGGCATTATCAGCTACCATGTTTTCTTTTAATGGGGTATATCATAGTTAGACAGATTTG